TGCGGGACGAGTGACGCAGGGTAGCGGCTGTAGGAGAGAGGCGCGCGATGAGGAGGGGCAGGTAGCGATTGTGGCTGTGGATCTGGGTGGCATCGACTGAGGGGGAAGGACGAGTATGTGGCGGTGAAGGCGGTGGGCTAATGGGTTGCGCGGAGGCGGCTGGGGAGAGGCGACGGTTGAGGGTGGCGGGATAGAGGTGTGGATCTGGAGGTAGGATCGGTGATGGGGTCAGCGAGCGGTCGGGATGACTGCGGTGGCGAGGAGGGCTGCGGAGGGTGCGGTGGCTGGTGCTGGGCGGTCGTGGTTGCGGGGAAAGAGAGGAGAGAGAAGAGAGAAGAGAGAGAATAGGAGAGGCTGCGGGGTTTCACGTGAAAAAGAAGAAGAAAAATAAAAGAAATATATATATACTTATATATATACACATACACATACTCACTCACACACAGACATGGTTAGGGTTAGGGTTAGGGTTAAAGAAAGTACACTAAAAATAAGGAAACAATACAGAAAAATACAGGAAAAATACGAGGGAAATGAATAGGCTAAAAAATCAATATAAGATAGCCATTAACAATAATAATAACGGTAATAAATAATCAAGTATTAGTTTAACAATTTAATTTATAATAGTAAAATCATTAAAATAAATATAATCTTAAATAATCAAGTATTAGTTTAACAATTTAATTTATAATAGTAAAATCATTAAAATAAATATAATCTAGATTTTTAAATCATAGAAAATTCTAGAAAATCAAGAAAAAATATAAATACTCTTTTGAAAATAATAATTGAATATTTTAAAATACTAAAAAATTATTTTAATTAGTATCAAAATTTCACGATAATTACATTCTACCCCCCTTAAAACAAATTCTGCCCTCGAAATTAAAATCAAAAAGAACCCAAGGACAGAGATATGGAAAATTGTACCAATTGGTATTACCACATCACTGATCTAACTCCTAAACATCAAGACCATTTTAGGCATTAATAACTGCTATGTAAAACAATCTACAAAATCTTTCGGATGAATAACTAGTCCTTGTAAAGCAATCTTACAATTTCTAATACCAAAATGAAACAAAAACAAGAAGAAATCTTGTTGGACTCTCCCTCTCCCCTTAATGCTCGTCCACATATTTCTCACATCTCTGTCTCAATACCAACAACTGACCCTTTCTTTGTACAAATCCTACCATGACCACTCTCGCCGGCAATTCTCAGCTCCATTTGCCTTCTCTCCAATCTCTCTGCTTACATTCTCATCTCTCTAGTAATGCCAACCTTAGAATCAAACTCCACCACAAAACCCAAAAGTTTCGGATAATAATAAAAATGGCAAAGTCAGAACCAGAGTTTGCACTGGAAAAGGCGGTGACCGGCGGTCAGGAGAGGCATTAGAGAAGGAGGCGGCCGACATTCTGGAGAGGCACTAGAGAATGTGGCAGCAGACATGCAAATAGCTGGAGGCGGTGACAGTGGCTATAAGGCGAAGAACTGCTGGAGGAGGTGCAACTGCACCGACGAAACTGTGAAAGATTGGGAGAGATTATGGATTAGGATCTAATGGGGGGGGGGGGCGGCCGGGGCGGGGGGATTCGGCCACAATTTGTGGATGTTTTTAGTTAGAGCTCAGAGATAAGGCAAAGAAGAAGATGATGGATTTCTAACTCCGCGAGGGCTCAGAGACTAGATGGAGAAGAAGAGGAGTGATTTCTTTTTTTTTCATTTTTCGATTTGGATTAAGAGAGGAGAACATGGAAGAAGATGAGAGATAAATAAGGATTTAAGTGGCATATTGAAAGGAGTATTTTAGGGTTTTTACCATGTATAAATAAAAGATACTCTACCTATAAATTATACAATTTGCGTTTAAAGGCAAATACAAAAGGCTAATTGGGTTTAAAGATACAAGATAAAGATGTTGAGTTTATAGATAAATCAGGATAAACTTTGGAGCGTAGAAATAAAAACACCAACCAAGAAAAATTGATTGGCTTCCATTCTACTTCATACTTGGGTAAAGTTACTCGCCCGATCTTATGTCTTAGGGGTGTTATTCATAGGAACATTTGGGGGGATAATGAGATAATTTTGGGGATTCTATTTCATAGTGTTATTCATTGGGATAATGGAACAATGATATTACATTTTTGTGTTATTACTTTTTTGGAACACTAGTGAGATAATTTCACCACTTGGATAAAATTACCCCACTCATATACAAAAATTTTGTCCCAATAGTAAAAATTTACACAATTCTCCATATTGGAACAATTTTATTCCACTTTGAAGGCAATTGAGATAATTTTCAATTTTTTTTATTACTTAAACTAATACATGCTAATTATATTATAAATATATGACATGATATATAAAATATAAAGTAATAATATATTCAATATATTATATTATATTATCATGTAATAAAATAAAATATTATTATAATGTAATTTATATGTATACTTTATTTTATGATATTTATTATATATTATTATGCAATATCACATACTATACTATATAATAGTACAATATATTTATTATAATATTATATAATATTTTGATATCATATATTATTATACAATATTAATTAGTAATTATAGTATAACATACTATACTTTTGTATAAATAACATATATTATTATATATTAATAACATAATATAATAACATATATTAATATTACATTGATGATATTGTATAATATATTATTATATGATATATTAATAACATACATTAATATTTTAATAACATATAATATTATATAATAACATATATTAATATTTTAATAAAATATATCAATATATTAATGATATTATATAATATATAATCATATAATAAATTATTATATAATGTAGGATACTAATATAATGTAATATAATATAATAATTAATTAGTAATTATAGTGTAACGTATTATATTTTTGTATAAATAAAATAATATATTATATTAAATATATTGATCTTATATTATATTAATTATTATATAGTATAGCATGCTAATATAATATAATATAATGTAACATAATATAATAATTAATAATATTAATTAGTGTTATGGTAATTTACCATCCAAAGATAGAAATGTCGGGAGAACGTCTGCATAAGCCTAATGGAGCTATGATCCAAACCAATTTAGAGGCTCAAAAGCCCAGTCAAGGCAGAGTCCCTCAACCGGATGAGCAGACAAGCCATACTTCGATCAAGGGTCATCATGACCGACTCGAAGTACGGGATCAGTCGTCCTCTCGCAATTAAGACGACTCCTCGAGCAGACGACTCGACTATATACCCGACCCGAAGCTCACTCGACTATCGGGTCGCCAAATCATAATGATGGCTTGCAGATCAACCCACCTCGGCTAAAGGGATAAGAGCCGACCAAGTTCACTTCAGATGTCAATCGACACAACAATATTGATCAGTCTCATCAAGATCTCCATTCTGACAAACCTCGTGCCCAAGCCGCTTATTCGGCTTACAAGTCATTTCCCAGAAGATTGCCATGATGCTTTCCTGTGCACAAATGACTTATCCTCCAATCCTCAGCCGCTACCTGGAGAGAAGGACGACCACATAGCCGATCTATCCTACACCCTACCTCTTCTGACAAATCCAGGGTACTGAGAAGATAGATCTCTCCTGTACCCGAATGACTTCCCTTCCAATCGTTCGTCGACATCTGGAAGGAGAATGATGACTCAACAGTCTATCTGCCTGCCCAGCAACCGCCCTCCTGTGCAAAAGAAAAGCCAAAATCTCAGAGGCAATGGAATATAAAAAGGAGGTAAGGAGGGCAATGGCAAGGAGGCTGATCTCTACTTCTTCTTACACCTGAACTTTACTCCCTTTTGGATCTTCTTTTTACATAAAGAGAATTTAATAACTCTTAGAGAGGAACCCCCTGCAAGGACCCCAATGGCTCAAGGACCTCTCAAAAAAACCTCCCTCAAGCTCTACAGCTGACTTGACCGTCGGAGGTACCATGAGCAGTGGCGGAGCTTAGTTGTTCTTTGGGGGGGGATCGCCCCCTCCCCCCCTTCGTTTCAATTTTTTTTGATGTATTATATATATATTTTTTATAATTTTAAATTAGTGTTATTTTGCCCCCCCCCCCAAATATTTTTACTACATTGATTATTAATATTAATAAATAATTGTAAAAACAAGGCTCCGCAACAAGATGGAAGAAGCATTCTTAGCAGATAATTTAGTTATGTATATCGAGAAAGAGATTGTTCAAGAAATTGATACTGATTCTGTGATTGATTATTTTAAGAAGATGAAAACTCGGCGTGCAAAGTTTTAGATGTTTATATAACATCGAATTGGTGATTATTTTGAATGAATTAAGTATTTATGAGTTTATTATGTAACTTCGCCCCCCCCCCAAATTATTTTTTCAAGCTCCGCCACTGACCATGAGGGAAACTAGTCACGTACTCTTGCGATTCTTGCATGTGCAGGCTATCAGTCCACCCCGCGCGCTCAGAATCGAGCATTAAGTCGGAGGAGGAGTTGGCCCCAACATTAATCCTCTCATTCTTCCCCACCGATGCTAGGATCGAAACTGCATCCGACCGCGGAGGACCCCTATCGAGTAATTATAGTACAACATATTATATTTTAATATAAAATAAAATAATGTTTATATTATAATAATATACTAAACTAATTGGATAAGTTAATTAGAAGTAATTAATAGATAAAATTATATTTTAATAATATGTCACATCATCAATTATTTCACATGAATTGTCAAATCAAAGGCTCAAATTGTCTCATTATCCTATTTTATCCCACTTTGCTCCACTTAAAATATCCCAAAAGGATAAAATCATTCCATTAGAACAATTTTCCTACTTGCCCCCAATTTGTCCCAAACAATAACCCCCCTTAACTCTAATATTTTCGTATCAATAGTTTTAGAACGTTATGGCCCACTGACGGCCCACATTCTCTTGCTAAAAACCTAAGGGCCAAATTCAACGGCCAGGATCCAATCTTTGGGGTCCTGATTGATTTTAAAACCCCAATTGCTAGGGTTTTCATACTGCGGCCGATCGTGAGCGAGGGGGAGCGCGAGCGTCAGAACCGAACGTGAGCCTCATGTCGCCTTCTCTTTCTTCTTCAATTTGAAATTTATTTTGGTGTAGTTTGTTTGACTAAATCGTAAAATATTCCTCTTTAATGATCTAATCATATGTTTAAGTCATCGAAACCCCTCATTTTGCTATAAGATTCTGTTAATCCCTGATGTGCAATGCAATTCAATTGGAAATTAATTAAGCCAACAGCTTCGGTGCTCCCAAGTCCCAAGCAGTTGGTGTAGTTTGTTTCCTTAAAAATCTCTCACATCCTAAATTTGAGGGATAAGGTAGTTGACAGTAGTTCCACACCCAAAAAAGTAATTTCACTTAGATAAAAAGGTTATTTTAGAAAGTATAAATAAGAAGATAAAGAGGAACTAGTTAGAATTCTCCAACTAATGAAAAACTCTCGTGGTCTTTATTTTTTTGACGTGGTTTTCTTCTCCAATCCCCTAATTCATTGCGCGGATGGCCAAACCTAATGGAATTTAATTTTTGATATGGCCATCGATCCTATGAAGTATTTCATACGAGCGTCTTCTTTCTCTAGAGTATTGAGCCCGAGATCATGAGTGTCGCCACCGGTCCAATCTGACTGGAAATAAATTGTTTTTGCATGGAGGAACTATATGTATGAGCCCGACATTAATTGGCTTTCTCTTAGGCCTTGGGAACCTTCATTCGATTAATTTTCAACTAAACAACTGAGATTTTGAATGAACATGATTGCTTTGTTTAAGTTCATCAACATGGTTGATGGTCGATTTTCTTCGGATCCAATTTCCTTGTATCACATTCAATCACATGTTAGCTAGATTTCTTGTTGATATCTTTATTGAGGAATTTTCTTAGTGTAATTCACCTATGATTCTATTTAAACGGATTTATATGCGTTTGATGGAATCCTGTGGATGAGAAATTGGTGGGGACAAAGATTTTTTTGTTTTTCCAAATTTACCCTTTTTAAAAAATAAATTAATAAACGATTTTAGGAGCACCGAAGCAAAGCCCATTAATTAATTGCATTTGTTATAAGATTCTGTTTAATCTTTAACACCTGTCATCATACGTACAAATGTCAGTACACTGTTTTGAGATTCTTAGCATGTGAATTTCCCCCCTCTGAGTATCAGTTTAAATCTATAATATTAATCCAAATGCATTTGAAAGTGAGTTAAGGTATGTGTACGCTTTGGAAATGTGTCAACGTAGGAGGTGATATACTTTATGCCTTTATTACATGTTGACACTTTTAAGATAAAAAAATTAATATTTCCCATATGTTTTGGTGAATTATCATCTCTGGTGTTTATGGTATTTAATGCCTTTTGATTTTTACATCTATGTACCATACTCAATGTTTGTGTTAATGTATGCAAGTGTGTGTGTGTGTGTGTTTGTTTGTATGTAGGGAATTTTGTATAGACTCCCAAATCTTTGTTACTATATTACAACCCCAATCTTCATGTTTCTTATTCTAAATTACACCCGAAATCTTTAAGTCATTTTAAAAGTCGCTACGTGATTGAAATTAAGTGTAGTTACTCCTTTTGAATATTGTTGTTAGTGTACTTATAGTTTGACCGTCCCACTCCTGATGAAAGCAATGATCACATTTTGATACCATTTAAGGGCTCACCACCCCCACCCCCCTCAATCTGACTCTCACAAAGTTTCGTCTTTCCCACCATCTGTCTCCTCTTTCTCGCTCTCAATTTCTTCTATTGCTCTGTCTTTCTCTCCTACTCAGCTGTGTGGGCCCTAACTATAAGGATATTGATGTAATTTAACCTAAAACAAAGTTATTGGATATTATCCTTTTTTGTGTTGTCTTATAGTTGGAGCTGGATGGAGCTTCAATTACAGGCATCCTAACGCACCTTAAAGCCTTGGTCAGGTTTTTATCTTTAAGCTCTATCGACAGTCAATTTTTGGCACAACACGTAATTAAAGCCTTTTTTCTACCACGAATAGGTGTAAACTCTTTGTTCAGATTTCAATCAGAGAGTAGAAGTCGCCTTTAACACTCTTATTTACAACTAGCTAAAATCTGATTGAAATTGTATTTGCAAGATAGTTTAGCTCTCTTAGTTGATTGTGGCTTTTCAAGGCGCTTGGTGTGGGAACAAGTTTGGAGCCCTTGAAAAAATGCAATATTTAGCAGAATAAAAGTTGACTCTAGAGGTTCTCTGGAAAAGGAGATAAAGTTACTGATACTTTCAAACCAGGTAGGTGCAAGTGGATTGTTTAGAGGTTGTATAATCCAAGGTTTTGTAGATGACAGACAGGTATGAGAAGACTTCTGAAGAGAAATCTTACAGCTGCATTGGGTTGATAGAGAACCATTTTTGGTTTTAATGTTTTATGACAGAAGGAGGGTTCTCTTTATTCCTACCTTTATTATTTCTCCATAAGGTACTAGGGGGATGTAGTCTATATAGTTTATTTTGTATCATATGATGTGATCATCCAAATCCGCAAGTGCATGGATATCGCTATAGCGATACAAGGTTGTATCCTTAGGGACTTCGTTATCAATTACCGATTGTCATTATTTTATGACTATCTAAATCAATCGTAATAGGAAGTTTAGTTTTAATGATAGAAAATTAATGAACGCGCTAGCTTGTATCAATATCGGATTCAATGAATTAAAAGAACCTAGGATCGAACTTTGATTTCAACTCTGATTTGAATCAACAATCGTTATCAAACCGCTCAATTCATTAGGAATGACTAACCTATGATAACTATTAGCCTCTTTCGATGACTAAAAGTCGTGCCTAATTCAGCCTAACATCTTATTCTCATGGTGTTAAACCAAATTAAACCTATTAAGTTCACGTTAGACCCTTACGTTCCTGAGAATCATTAACCTACTTTCGTGATCAATCAATTCCTGTTCAGTTACTATTTTTCGGTGTCAATTTAACCTTTCAGTACAAATTAACATCCTAAATTAGTCAAATCAGTGGCCTATTGAATCAACCCTAAGCAATTAGATACTAATAATTGAATAATGCAAATCGAACGATTAACGATAACAATAGAATCAATTCATTGATTCACAACCATAGCCAAACCTAATTCGATCCTAGAAAAAACAATTACTCACATAATTGGAATAGAAAACATGATAATATATAAGATCATATTCGTAATCAAGAAAATAAGATAGATTAGAAAAATAAACCGTAGCGTCGAAATCGAGATGTTGTATACAATTCTCCGCAACCAGCAGATTACAAATCAAAAGAAATCCTAATCTAAGAGTTTGTAGAAAGATGGGGAAAAGAAAAGGAAATAAAAGAAAAAAATATCAAAAATTAGTAGAGCCCCTCAGCTGCCTACCCCACGTCCTTTTGAAAGTCTGGAAAAAAAGAAACCGTCGAAAATAACTGTCAAAGCTCGCTTAAGATCGTGCGAGAAACTGAATGCTGACATCCAACACGATTGCGTAGGGAAATACGGCCAGGCCGTGTTTAGCTTTGTTGCTCTGTTCCTTCTGGTTTTTATTCTCCACTTCAACACTGGTGTTGTTGGATACTGGGGACCGTGTAGCCTCTTTCCCATGCACTCCTTGACTCCTTTTTTGCTCCAAATCCATGCTTAGCTCCAATACTTCCTACACAATACACAAGGAGAGCAGTAAACAAGAAAAGGGAGCTAAACAAGGTCCTTAGCTCCAATACTTCCTACACAATACACAAGGAGAGCAGTAAACAAGAAAAGGGAGCTAAACAAGGTCAAAACAAAAGAAAATCACATAAATATACACAAGGAGAGCAGTAAACAAGAAAAGGGAGCTAAACAAGGTCAAAACAAAAGAAAATCACATAAATTAACAAGCAACCGGAGGTGAAACATAGTCAAAAGATAGATAATATTCATGTTTATCAACTCCCCCATGCTTGAACTATTGCTTGTCCTCAAGCAAAACAGATGGAAAAAAGACATGCAAGGAGAGGACACGTATTCAAAGAAATGACAACGGAGATATCAAATAAGCGCAAGAGCATCCACTAGACTCAAGTTCACGTGCAGCAGCATTTCACTCAGTCCAAAGTCAAAACGGAAATCTCGTCTCATGTCTCAAGTTGAAGAGATTGCATCTATAGGTATTCCCGTACGTCCGTACGTTAGTGCAAGTAACTCGACTCATAAACGTTGGAATAATGGTATGGTAGAATTTTTCTTCCAATTGATTTTTCAGGACTCCTCGTGACAAACATATCTTATCACACATGGGTCATATTTTTCCTACTTAAGGTCTCAAAGGAGCATTCGGTTTTCTTGCATTTTTTTGTGTGAAGATCTTGTCATAAGTAGCACTTAACGACGTGACAGTCATACTTTTGAGGGTGCGGTGCCAGGTACTCGGTGCAACAGACTTTAGGGTTTTGCCTCTTTTTTTTCAAGGCTGAGTGTTTTTTCAGTAACCAAAAAGTAGTACAAGTCACCAAAGGAGCATAAGTACTAATTAGATGGATTAAGCCAAAAGTCATTCCTATATATCTATTCCTACGTCTAGAGTCAAGTATGGTGAATTGGAACTCCGACAGATGACACTCTAACTAATTAGACATGAAACAAAGATTTTTGATCTAACAATGGGGCAAGTGAAATAATCGTACTCTTCATTTTTTCCTTTTCTTTTCTCTTTTTTTATTATTTATTTAATCAAAAGGAGAAGGAAAATGAAAAAAGGAAACATAGAAAAAAAAGAAACAAACACTCAAAAAACACAGAAAGACACACCAAAGCACTAAACAAAAAGAAAGAAACAAACTTTCTAAACACAAGGAGAAATACACCAAAACACACATAAGAGACATGAAACATCATCGCGACAAACCCTACTAACCCTACTCCCCCATGCTAGAATCACACATTGTCCCCAATGTGTTAATAACTGAAAGGAGGAAGAGAAAAAGGACTCACCGCTCATTGAGGTGGTGGAGGTGGATAACCATGATGTAGGAATCATTGGTGCATATGCTGCATCAATTCATTTATGGTCCTAAGTGTTGTGCCAAAACCATCTAAACGCGTGGTCATGACAGTTAATTGTGTATCAATATTTGTTCGTAAGGAGGATACAGACTCACGTAAGTGTTGCTGCTCCTGCTCCAATGTGTCAAACCTGGTAGTCCAATCGGCTAAAGCACTAGATGATGAGGCACTATGATAGAAGGTAGGCTGAACCGGTGGTGGTAAGGGATTCTGAGGAGGTGGTGTGTATGGCAAGTCACTTGCAGGTGCCTGCTAGTTAACATGCCTTTCAGTGTTAGTATTATCAGGGTTAGAAAGTGGAAAGATACGAGGGTTGAAGAAAGTCAACTAATAGATATTACTGATCTTAGTGATAAGACCGAAAGCTGTGCAGTATGATAAATTCACTCAAGCTATTGGTTTCTCCACAGGTAGGTGGGCTAAGTCTAGTTTCATTCGTTTTGCTAGGATTGTGATCAATCCTCCAACAACAATGTCACCCATACTAGATCTTCTAATTTTCTCTTATTGTTTAGCCATAAAGTATCCAGCATCAACGGCAATCTTATTAACTAGACAGTGCAACATGAAAACCTCGGTATCTCGAAAAACACTTACGTTCTCCCCTCTACCAAAGTTAGTGTTGGCTATGAGCCGCTGTAAATAGCAGAAAACAGGGTTATAAATTTAGAAGGCCTTATTCTTAGAAGGTTCATAAGGAGGCGATGATCATCTGCCCTATCTATCCTATCTATCTGGCGTTATCTATCATCTCTTTCATTGATTATGGCTCTCCAAAAGGTGGCAGTATCTCACTCTCTCGAGGGTTTTCGAATTTCCTACTCAGGTAGGCTAAAAAGACGGTTAAACCGAGCCATACTTATCACATAGTCCTTGCTAAAAAATCAAAAAATAAATCGACCACCCGCTATATTATCACTAGCATCAACCATTATAGAACTTAAGAAACTCCAGAGTAAGCCTCTTGTATGTAGACCTATGCAACCTGTGCAACGTCACAAAATATGTCCAACCAATGTCATTCAGTAGATTATAGACATTATCTCTCAACCTTAATTGTAACAACGCATCATCATCAATGAATTTAGTCGATATCATGCGCTTAGAGACTAAGTTATTAAATCGGACCTCTTGATTAAGATTGGGGTCAAAAATAATGTCATAAGGGTTATTGGGAGGAGGTGAAGGGTTACCCCTTGTAGAGCGGTGTTGCGACTGTGGGGGTGAGTTAGAAGTTGCTGCTTAATTAGGTCTTATGTGTTTCGGAACCATGGAGCACTCAATTGATTAGGATGGGAACATATCTTGGACTTCAGGTGTTGAAGGAAGAATGGAGGGTGCGAAGGTCGGCGTTGCTCTGGTCGGAACGGTAACGGTGGTGTCTTGGCTCTTGAAGCACGCTTGGCATGGTATCGACTAAATTTATTGATGATGCGTTGTTACAATTAGGGTTTAGAGATAATGTTTATAATCTACTGAATGACATTGGTATGAGAGATTTTGTGACGTTGCATAGGCCTACATACAAGAGACTTACTCTGGAGTTCCTAAGTTCTATAATGGTTGCTGCTAGTGATAGTGTAGCGGGTGGTCGACTTATGTTTTAATTTTTAATAGGGACTATGTGATAAATATAGCTCGGTTTAACCGTCTTTTAAGCCTACTTGAGCAGGGGATTCGAAAACCCTCGAGAGAATGGGATCCTGCTACCTTTTGGAGAGCCATAACTAGTGAAAGAGAAGATAGATAACGCCCGGTAGATAAGGCAGATGACCACCGCCCTCATAAACCTTCCAAGAATAAGGCTTACTAAATTTATAACCCTGTTTTCTGTTATTTACAGCGGCTCATGCCCAACACTATCTTTGACAGAGGGGAGAGCGTAAGTGTTTTTCAGGACACTGAGGTTTTCATGTTGCATTGTCTAGTTAATAGGATTGTGGTTGATGTTGGATACTTTATGGCTAAACAATTAGAGAAAATTGGGAGATCTAGTGTGAGTGACATTGTTATTGGAGATTGATCACAATCATAGCAGAACGAATGAAACTAGACTTAGCCCATCTACCTATGGAGAAACCAGTAGCTCGAGTGGATTTATCATACTGTTTAGCTTTCAGTCTTATCACTAAGATCAGTGACATCTATTGGTTGACTTTCTTCAACCATCCCATCTTTTCACTTCCTAACCCTGACCATACTAACACTGAAAGGCAGGTTAACTGGCAGCCACCGCAGGTGACTTGCCATACACATCACTTCCTCAGGATCCCCTATCACCACCGGTTCAGCCCACCTTCTATGACTATCACGGTGCCTCATAATCTAGTGCTTCAGCCGATTGGACTATTAGGTTCGACACATTGGAGCAGTGACAGCAACACTTACGCGAGTCCGTCTCCTTACGAACAGATATCGATACACAAGTAAATGTCATGGCCACGCGTTTGGACGGTTTTGGCACAACACTTAGGACCATGAATGAGTTGATGCAGCATATGCACCAATGGTTCCTACATCATGATTATCCACCACCTCAATGAGCGGTGAGTCCCTTTTCTCTTCCTCCTTTCAGTTATTAGCACACATTGGGGACAATGTGTGATTCTAGCATGGCGGAGTAGGGTTCGTCGCGGTGATGTTTCATGTCTCTTATGTGTGTTTTGGTGTATTTCTCCTTGTGTTTAGAAATTTTGTTTCTTTCTTTTTGGTGTGTCTTTCTCTGTGTGTTTGTTTCTTTTTTTTTCTATGTTTCCTTTTTTCATTTTTCCTTTTGATTAAATAAATAATAAAAAAAGAAAGAAAAGAAAAGGAAGAGTACGATTGTTTGCAACCCTCTTAACACGTACATCTTTTATTTCACTTGCTCTATTGTTAGATCAAAAATCTTTGTTTCATGTCCAATTGGTTAGAGTGTCATCTGTCGGAGGTCTAATTCACTCATACTTGACTTAGACGTAGGAATAGATAGGAATGGTTTTTGGCTTAATCCGTATAATTAGTATCTAGGCTCCTTTGGTGACTTGGACTATTTTTTGGTTACTGGAGAAACACTCGACCTTGAAAAAAAAGCGGCAAGGCCCTAAAGTCTATTGCACCGAGTACCTAGCACCGCACCTTCAGAAGTATGATTGTCACGTCGTTAGGTGCTACTTATGACAGGATCTTCGCATAAAAAAAGTTCAAGGAAAACCGAGTGCTCCTTTGAGATCTTAAGTAGGAAAAGTATGACCCATGTGTGATAAGATATGTGTCTGTCACGAGGAGTCCTGGGGAATCAACTTGAAGAAAAATTCTGCCATACCATTATTCCAACGTTTATGTGTCGAGTCATTTGCACTAACGTACGGGAACACCTACAGATGCATTCTCTTCAACATGAGACGAGATTTTCGTTTTGATTTTGGGCTGAGTGAAATGTTGTTGCACGTGAACTTGAGTCTAGTGGATGCTCTTGCTCTTATTTGATATCTTCGTTGTTATTTCTTTGAATATGTGTCCTCTCTTTGTATGTGTTTTTTCCATTTGTTTTTCTTGAGGACAAGCAATAGTTCAAGCATGTGGGAGTTGATGGATATTATCTATCTTTTGACTATGTTTCACATCCGGTTGCTTGTTATTTTATGTGATTTTCTTTTGTTTTGACCTTGTTTAGCTCCCTTTTCTTGTTTACTGCTCTCCTTGTGTATTTTTATGTGATTTTCTTTTGTTTTGACCTTGTTTAGCTCCCTTTTCTTGTTTACTGCTCTCCTTGTGTATTGTGTAGGAAGTATTGGAGCTAAGTACCTTGTTTAGCTCCCTTTTCTTGTTTACTGCTCTCCTTGTGTATTGTGTAGGAAGTATTGGAGCTAAGTACGGATTTGGAGCAAAGGAGGAGTCAATGAGTGCATGGAAAGAGGCTACACGGTCCCTCAGTATCCAACAACACTAAGAGTGTTGAAGTGCAGAAGAAAAACTACAAGGAACAGAGCAACAAAGCTGAACACGGCCTGACCGTATTTCAACACTCTGGTGTTGTTGGTTCTTCTGGTTTTTCTTCTGCACTTCAACACTCTGGTGTTGTTGGATGCTGGGGGACCGTGTAGGCTTTTTTTCATGCATTCCTTGCTCTTCTTTACTCCGAATCCGTGCTTAGCTCCAATACTTCCTACACAATACACAAGGAGAGCAGTAAACAAGAACAAGGGAGCTAAACAAGCCCAAAACGAAAGGAAATCACATAAAATAACAAGCAACCGGAGGTGAAACATAGTCAAAAGATAGATAATATTCATGTTTATCGTGATGCTTTGGACAGAGTCATAGACAATGAGTAGTCGTTTCTGATTTAGTGATTACGATAATTGATTTGAGCTTTTTTAGTTAATGTAATTGGTAGCATGTTATTTATAATTGATAAGTAACAGTGTTACTAGTTGAATTTTCTTGTCTTAAATATTATAGACCAAGTTCTGTTTGGCAAGATGATTTGGGGTAAAGTTTAGCCCTGATCCCTGGATTCAGATCTGAATGGTACATGAAGTCCAACTTCGTGCCTGGTTATTTATAGGTTCTCACTCTTAAATGCTAACAACCATGTTTGGGCTCCATGATTGTTGGAAATTTTTTCATTTTTGTGGCACCTGCTTTATTGTTCATGACTTGTTTATCATATGCAGCTGGTTTACTAACTTAAGGCCTTACTGACACCAGATGGCGCCGCCCGCTAAAGGTATTTCACTAGCTTTATACCTTAGTTTGTCACCGCCAAGTTGTATTTGATGTTTTATAATATATTTTTGTTATCATGATTTAATTTTAGAAACTACATCATATGGGCCATTTTTTAAGAAATAGTATGATTTTTTTTCATGTAACTACAAAGTTCAGGGTAGTTTTTTGAAATATCTGGGAGAAAACCATATAACTTGTGGTACTTATGTGAACAAAAAACTTCATAATTGTTCTTTTAAAAGCTTAGTTTTGCAATTCAGCTTTATATCATTGATTGATGTCTTAATTAAGGGTTTTTTGTTAGTATTCTCTGAAAACCTCTGCTATTATAGGGGCTATGAAATGTCAGTGAAGATGTGAGACATGTGACGAGACGAAAGACTTAGTGCTACCTTGTTTTAAGAAAATGTTCAATATAAGCACTTGTGGAAAGTTTAAAGAGACATCCGTGATGAATATCAGTAGATGTGCTTGTTTCATGAACGCTGAAAAGACTGCAATTAATCTGACTACAATTTTCTAGAATATCTTTCGAAGTGTTTATATAATGTATAATTTGACCTTACTATATTGATGTTGGTGTGTGTTTTTACTGTGTGCTAAGGACACTGGGAAGATTGAACGGACAAGTGTTATCTTCACTATAATGGTAAAAATATATACATCAACACTTGAAGGATATCAAATTCTAATGTTCTTGCTCAATCATGATAGAACAAGGGCCGATGCATCTATTACGACACCTGGTCTTTCTGGAGTTGATATACCCCTAACAAGAATAACTGTTCCTTGGTTGACGGACATGCTACACAAAATACGGTGCAGTCCCAAAATTTTGATGTATCCTTGATAATTTAACCTGACCAAGAGTACTACTACTAGTGAAATCCAAACTATTAGTGCATTTGGTCATATTAACTATTTTATTCTTCCTTCAGGATTATCTGATCAAAGCATTAATGTGTTTGGTCATATTAATTATTTCATTCTTCCTCCAGGATTATTTGGTGTCTTGGTAATTGGGAATGGTTATTTGTTACTGGGGGCAGATTACGTTGCATGTGTTTTGTCACATAATTTTTGAAATGATCACTACAAATTTATTGAAATTCCTCCTAATAAGAGGGTGGACTGAGTCCTTGTTTATTACTGGCTTTCTCCCTTTGAATTTGCTTCGAAGAGAACATTTATTTCCGGTGTTTTTTGGGCTCAAATTATACTTTTCATATTCTTTTTCTAGTCTACATCTTACATTATAAATAGCGTATTATAAATTATGCGTCTCTTTTAATCTGCTTCCGTAACTCTGTCTTCAGCTACAGCAAAGAAAGCTGATGGAAAAACACAGGCCTTGAAGGTTGCCAAGGCTGTTAAATCTGGGACTTCAACCTTGAAGAAGAAGGTCAAGAAGATCCGTACTTCTGTTACTTTCCATCGTCCCAAGACTTTGAAGAAGGATAGAAACCCCAAATATCCCAGAATCAGTGCCCCTCCCCGAAACAAGCTTGATCACTATCAGATTCTCAAATATCCTTTGACGACCGAGTCTGCCATGAAAAAGATTGAAGATAACAACACACTTGTCTTCATAGTTGATATCCGTGCGGATAAGAAAAAGATCAAGGCGGCAGTGAAGAAAATGTATGATATCCAGACTAAGAAGGTTAATACACTGATCAGGTCAGTGGATTTCCATTCACCAGAATAATCTATCCATTCAATAAAGGACACTAATCCCTTCAACAAAGGCCACTAAATGCACCAATTAATAGATATTATAATTCATTATTGATGAAACAAGAAGGATGCGAGGTAATTTTAAAATAACAATTAAGGGAAAATGAGGGTAAATTTCAAAAACTGGTCCCTTATTATTATTTTTGATGGTTTTTTGGGGGGGTTTTTTGGGGGGGGGGGGGGGGGGGGTAAATTTTTTTAGAGAAAACTGTCTTGAAAATCTCAAAATTAGAAAAATATCATGAACTGTTAGAACTGTCATAAGTGGTGTTAACCTGAAGGATAGAGGCCCTCAACTATCTATTAATCCTCAAAGGAAAAACTCTCGGTGAAAGGTACAAATGAGAGATGTCATTTGCGAAGCACGCGACAACCGAATCTAACTGCTGTAGCATAGATCATGTTTAAAAAAAATCATGATAGTGTAACATAATGATGTTTAACACAGTATTGGATTGAAGAATAGGAATGACGTCTCCTATCTTAAATTTTTTTTGATAAAGGTTCATTTGTTGTCATTTTAGAAGAACAAATTCATTCATTCTTTGTTCTGATACTTTTATTTACCTGCTGCAGGCCTGATGGTACTAAGAAGGCATATGTGAGGCTGACACCAGATTACGATGCTCTTGATGTCGCCAACAAAATCGGTATCATCTAAATCTGATGCTGAGGCGTCGGCTTGTTTTCATCGTTTGTTATTGGCTTATATATGTATGCTGATGATTGAGAATATTTGGGAGACTGCTTTATGGGTTTTGTTAGATTATAGTATATTGTTCACCTACTGTTGGTATGGACAATAGTTTAGTTGAGTTTGGTGTAATGCTGATCTACTTTGTCTGCATTTCTGACGTTCTTTCTTTGCGTGATGACCCACCATTTTGCGAGGTGCCAGTGCTTTATGCATACTTTTAATGCAATACTCAACTCCATTCCTATTATTGGAATAATAAATCTTTATGATGGGCCCTCTAAAGTGCGCATGTGTCAAACACATTTTTAAGTTGTTGATTGCAATTGATATCCAAGGATACTATTTTCCTATTGAACCAATACTTTTGTAACTTTTTATTCTGATACTTATTGTATTGATATTGCACGCTGATGTCGTCGGTTTAAATTACAATTCTCACGCTTTTCCTCCTCTTGATATATTAGTAAGATGTCCACCCTATAGCTTTGTTTCTCTGGCTTTTTCACCTTTTGCTTTCCGTTGTGCTTATTTATTGGAGCTTTTGAAATTTGTTATGGTCTGAGAGCCACTCTTTTCGAAGAACTGTGACCTTTGTTGGATAGCAATTGTGAGATCTAGAGGAATTTTGTTTGAGCTCTTTTTGGCATGGAATCATGAAGGGATGAAGCTTTTTTTAACTAGTGAAAGATGCGAGCTTTTCCCGTTGTGCTCTTGTGAATACTTTATTCAGTATCAGGTTGCTGTGAGCTATTTACTATTGTTATTGTGACATTATTGTTTTCCTTTGATGTATGTGGTGAAGTATTCTACTGTCATTGTAACATTATTTTTTTACTTTGATGTGTGTGGTGAAGTATTTTGAAGCTCTGAGGCGAATAAGTGATTGATACATCAGCAAAAGATTGGGTGATAGTGCTCCAGAGATGCATCAATTCATCTTTATTTTTATTTTTATTTTTACTTTATGTTTGGGTTGGGGCCAGTTCTTGGTGATGTATGTGGAGAGTTGCATTGGGCCCTTTTGGATTGTAGAAAAGAAAATATCTTTTAGTGCTATTCTCATTTGCTTCCAGATGAAGGTGTAAGAGTCTGAATGCAAAAGGCACTGCACAACATTCTTGGAAGTGTGTGAATATATTTTGCGTCGAAATCTTAATCTTTTTCATTTATTAGTTAATACATGCGGTGGCGGAGCTACACAGTGTTCTGCAGTTCTTAATTTTTAGGTACTTTTGTAGTTCCTATTTTGTAGGTACTTCTGTTTATTTTCACTTGTGTATGCTGCTTAGGACATCACTAAGGGAGCGTTGCTACAGGGACCTAAAATATGAGACCATTGGAAGGAATATGTGAGGTGTCTCCTTCTTGTTGCATAATGAGCTGATCATACCAGCTCATTACATAATAAGAAAGGGACACCTCACCTGTCCCGCAGGTCAACGAGTTCAGTAGGCAACACGTAGCTTCAACTTTTAACAATTATTGTGATTAAATTAACATTACTATGATGCGGTGCATTAAGTTAAATATCTTTTGGGAACTGCTGCCTTTATGCCGCCATCATCATCCAGGAGAAATCTTACAGGTGTTCGTCAAAATTGGTGCGCACATGTTCCCCTTTTCCTTCGTGCATGCAATTGAATTTTTCTGACCCTTTAAAAAAAATAAAAAATAGTGTAATTAATATATAAAGCCGTGGTAATTTAAGCAATAACCTTATGAGTAAAGTTTTTCAAAAGGGTTTTCTAGATATTAGTCCCTCACATAATTAATATCTATATATCATTCCCTGAAATCTTCGAGAATGTACGTAGTTCCCTCAAATCTTAAGAGGTGTTAGCACTTTAGTCTCTAATTTACCAAAATACCTTTTAGCTTATGTTTTTTGAGCGCATAGTTTTCTGGAACTTTTAGGAACCAATATGCAAGCCTGCTTAGGATTTGAGGGACATGTGAGCAATATCAAAGACTTAATGGGTTAACATGAAATAATTGAAGATTTAAAGGGACTAATATAAAAAGTAAGAATGGGACGGCGGTTCCTATGACATTATTTCCTAATGGAGGTAGGTATCCAGTATCCTCTCAAATAACGAAGTAGCACGTTTGATTATGATTAATAAAGTTTACATTTTTCAATTATATATTAAAAAAAAGTTTACATTCTCAATGGGACAATTCTTATTGTAAGAATAGGAAATAGAAAATTAAAATCATTGCTTGTGAAAAAAGCGGATAGAGGCGGAAACAGCAAAGCATTTGTCTGTTTGCTCATTTATGGAAAAAAAATATTTGTTCCGTTTTTGGATTCTTGTTACACGTGTTGTAAACTTTGGACACATTAACCTGCGCTGACTTCCTCCTCTCTGCCAGCCGACCTTATCCACTCCCTTACCGGATCTAAATAGCAATTGTGAGATCTTAACCGAAAACTCGAAGAATTAGACATGTGTTTTTTTTAAAGCCCGAATGTTTGGATACCATGATGTTTTATTTGTTTTTCATGATGTTTTTGTCAAAAATAAAACACCATACGTTTGAAAGCAATGATGCTTTTTGAGCTAAATACTCCTCAAACCAAGAAGTGAACACTTATGTCAGAACACATTTTAGGTGTTTAAGTTTGGTGTTTTGGTGTTGAGTTTGATAAGGTGTTAATATAATATCTAACATAATATATTAAATGTAATTAATATAGAGTTATTATCAGCATGCTTATTATATTATACTATACTATACTATATTATAGTTAATTTAATATATTAGTAATATTTATTAAATAATATAAAAATATAATTGTAGGCACTAAAAGATGCCAAGGAATTAAGAAAGATTGAACCTCGCTACAAGCATGATGAGGCTCGTCATCATAATGAACCTCATCTCAGCCAACGAAGCCCATCAATAGTGATAAGGTGTTAATATAATATCTAACATAATATATTAAATGTAATTAATATAGAGTTATTATCAGCATGCTTATTATATTATACTATACTATACTATATTATAGTTAATTTAATATATTAGTAATATTTATTAAATAATATAAAAATATAATTGTAGGCACTAAAAGATGCCAAGGAATTAAGAAAGATTGAACCTCGCTACAAGCATGATGAGGCTCGTCATCATAATGAACCTCATCTCAGCCAACGAAGCCCATCAATAGAGTCGAAGTTCGTTGTCGGACGAAGTTCACTTAGAGACAAAAATCCTCTAGAAGATGAAGATCATCCAAGAGGCAAAGTCCATCTGCAGACGAACCTCGTCAAACAGTGCCTCACCCCTCAGAAGACGAAGTTCGTCCAGAAACGAAGTTCGTCATTGAAGATGAAGTTCGTCGTTGTCATTATTGACGAACCTCGTGCATAGTCAAACCTCGTCTGTCATAATTTTTAGATGCTACATTTAAGGAGGGTTAATGACCAATAACTCACTCATTTAATGAGAGTTAATGACCACTAACTCACCCATTTAAGTGGGAGTTAATGACTGCTAACTCACTTATTATAAGGGGAGTTAAAGCTCATTAACTCACTCCATAATGGTCCTAAGACTATAAATAGGCAAGATCAACATGAAAGGAGGGAGGGGATGGAGAGGCTAGTCAAAAGCCATATCTCTTCTCCACTCTCATTGATCTTCATAGATCATTATTATCGACTAATCATTTGGCCTTGTGGGCACTAGAAATGCCAAAAGATAGACGAGTGTCACACCTCATCATGACGAACTTCATCAGTGAAGGGGAACATCGTCCGAAAGCTCAAATAAAAGCATTGAAGCTCATTTGAAACTCATCTTAACGAGGCTCGACATCAAAGACGAGGCTCGACAATGTAGAGAGGCTCGACATCAGAAACGAGGCTCGTCAGGCAACGAGGCTTGACATCAAAAGACGAAGCTCGTCATTGGAAATGAGGTTCGAAGTTCATCATTGGAGGTGAAACTCATCAATGAAGACAAAGCTCATCATCAGACTTAAAGCTCGTCAGTGAAGATGGAGCTTGTCAAAAGGATGTTCATGAGGATTGCTATGCAGTTGAACCCAGTTATGAAGACGAAGCTCATCAGTGAAGACGAAGCTCGTCAGACAAAGTCAGTGAAGACAAAATTCGTCAGAAGAAGCTCGCTATACTTCAAAGCCTACCTTGCCAGACGAACCTCGCTGCATATTGAGGCTGCGAGGCTCTGTTCAAGCCAATCAATAGAGCTGGGGTTATAGTTGAAGCAGCCAATAGAAAACCAAAATAACTAGTTATAGTAGGCATGAAAGAGCTAAATTAGATATCTTCTTTTGCTACATATGTTAATAAAACACTTACCTAAGTTTTAATTTTTTCGGATACGATGGTAAGAAAAAATCAATTGACAAAATTAGTTTAGTTCTAATGGAAAGTTCTTGATTCATCAGTCATTATAGATAGCACTAAAAAAAATGACAAAATTAGTTTAGTTCTAATGGAAAGTTCTTGATTCATCAGTCATTATAGATAGCACTAAAAAAATGTCGTTCGCGGAAGATCCAGCTGTAACAGTTCTGAAGATCTAGTTAGCTATGTGGGCTGAACTTCAGGAACACGTTACACCCCATTAACCAACATGGGGTGAATTAGAGGAGACAATTACGCCCTCTACCTACAATTTTAGCACGTCGGTTACGTGCTGAAACTCTATAAATAGCTGCAAGCAGCTATAAAGATGGGACTTTTGGAAGATTTTTGAGCGATCGCGTGAAGAGAGTTTAGTATCTGCATTCTCATGATCTAAGCCACCATCAGAAGCTTTTGTGATCTTAATCTGATCGTCAACGGAAAACAATCTCGGCTTGAGCATCGAGAGAAGCATCCTTTCGCCACCAAGAACCCACTTTTAAACAAAAGAGAAGTTAAATTAATCTTCTCTTCCTTATGTAATCAAGAAAGTGAGTGATTGTAAAAGGTTCTTACCAAGTGATCGAACTCATTTCTTAAAACAATAAATCAGTCAAACTTCAACTTTTCAACCCTACAGAAGATGGTGACCATAGTGGGAGAAGCCGTTCTTTCCGACGAACTAGTGGTGGCACAATTAGATCAGATCATGGTGGGAACCAACGTCAAAACTCTTATCATCGAGTTCGACCAATCCAAGTACGAAGAATTTCTCTCCTCTTGTACTCCGAGTCCTACAAAGGCACGTAAGTGCTGTAGAGTCTTGTATGGGACTTCGACCCATGTGGCTTCTGACCATTCCCCTCGAGTTAATCTCGAAGAGGAACCTCAGCCTCTAACTAACGAGGCTCCGAAAATTAGCCGCCAGGCTAAGAGGTGGGTTGTTAAGCAACCTCGCAGAACATTGGTTGCTGCTGTTAAACAACCTCGCCAAACTTTGGCTACTGTGGAACCTGGTGTTAAGCCACTTTCCAAACGTCCAAGACAACGTCAACGACAAAATCAAGCTCGCGGTAAGGCTCGAGCCTTGGTCTCGTTGGACGGTTTCCACTATCGGTCACGAGACAACACGTCTAAGTCCCACAAGTCTGCCAAAGGTCAATTAGCTGAAGTGCGTCAAAGTGACGAACCTCTCTCCTGCATCCAAAGGTGCTTGAATGACAAACCTCGTCTTCAACACGAGACTCATCGAAACAATAGGCCTCGCCATGCATTCAAATATACTCGGCTGACGAACCTCGCTTTCAAAACAAGACTCGTCCAAAACAACCAGTGCAAATTTGCCCTGCCGCTCAGAATAGGAAGACTCAGGCTCGACGAAGTGACGAACCTCGTCGAAAAGACGAATCTCGCCTTCAACCTCAGACTAGCACTGTTACAAAGAAATATTCAAGGGTCCAAGACGAGGTTCGACCTAGACGACAAATCCATCCTTGGAACCAAGTTCGTCTGATTAACGAACCTCACATGAAATACGAGGTTCTCCCCCCGAACCAGGTTCGTTCGAATAACATAGCTCGCATGAATGACGAGGTTCGTCCAACCAACGAACCTCGTATCACACATGAGCCTCACCTAAGCGTCCGAGTGCACTCAGATGACGAACCACATCTTCAGCATGAGGTTCGTCCAGCCAACTAGGCTCGCCAATCTCTAACACTTAGAGATTCTTGCACATGCATAAGCAAGCTACCTGAGTTAACAGAGGGTGGTCCTGTTACTGATCTCCATGATTACCTGGTTCGTAAGCGCAATATAAGCCAGATGAAATCCAATTGTAGTTGTGAGGAACTTATCTCTTTAGTGCTAGCCAAATGCCAGTGTGGCGACCCAACACCAAGGGCCTCGATCTTCGAGTGATTGTCTGAACCGTCAACAATTTTGTCGTCCAGAAGAAGACACTTTCGCCACAAAAATCAGAAGGAACCTATGGAGGTTACTGTCAATATGATTAGCAGAGGGAAAGGCGAAGGGCCAGCAGGTCCTTCCTATTCTTCTGACCCTGAATTTTCTCCGAGGATGGAATATTTGGTCACTGAGCGAGAAGGTGTCTATTAGCACACACATGCCCGTACTGGTTTGGTAATTTCACTTGATTATCGACATTTAGTATATGAAACCAATGAAGAGGTTGAAAACTCTGCCATTACAAATTCTCAGCCATCTAGCACCGATCAAAGTGAGAAAGTGAGCGCTCACATGGCCGTGAATGAAGAAGAGATGGCAAGAAGGCTGGAAGAACAACAAGCTGCTCTCCTCCAACAACAAGAAACCATCAGATGCTTGGAGCATATGATGAACAAACTCCTCAAGGAGAAGAAGAAGAAGAAAGCTACCATTGAATTCTCAGAATCAATACACCAGCGACCTTCACCCAGTGCTCGGAAATCTAGCCATCGAAACCAAGATGGCAATAATGAAGAGGGTGAGGATGAAGAAATTTTCAAAATTCATTCCAAATCATCCTTAGAGACGAGGATGAGCCTGACGAAGTTGTTATATTGAACGGTTATGTGCTGAAACTCTGTAAACAGCCGCAAGCAGCTATAAAGAGTGGACTTTTGGAAGATTTTTGGGCGATCGCGTGAAGAGAGTTTAGTGTCTGCATTCTCGTGATCTAAGCCACCATCAGAAGCTTTTGTGATCTTGATCTAATCGTCAACGAGAAGCAATTTCGTCTTGAGCATCGAGAGAAGCATCCTTTTGCCACTAAGAACCACTTTTAAATAAAAGAGAAGTCAAATTAATCTTCTCTTCCTCTGTAATCGAGAAAGTGAGTGGTTGTAAAAGGTTCTTACCAAGTGATCGAACACATTTCTTAAAACAAGAAATCAATCAAACTTCAACTTTTTGACCCTATAATAATAAATAAAATATCTTATATAATATATTAAATACCAATATTTAATACGCTAATAATGTATTGTATAATAAATAAATAATAGTAAAATATAAATAACTAATAAAAATAATAATAAAGTTATTGATAATAAATACTAATATAATAATGATATAATAATATACTATACAATAGTATAATCGCTATAATATTATTAACATTTTAATAAATTAATTGTAATAAATTAATAATTATAAAAGATTATATAATAGTAACATATTTAATAATAACATAACATTATAATAATAATATTATAAAAACATATTGTATAGTAATGTAATATAATATAGATAAAATATTAATATATAATGCAATAAATAATATAATTTATTATAAAGTAAATTAATTTTTAATAATAAAATAATTTATTGCTAATAAATGTTAATGTAAAAATAATATATTCATAATATAATAATATTTATTTATATCATAAATACTAATATATTATTAAAGTACTATTAATAAACTCTAACTTATTAAAAACTATAATATATTATATAATATTAAAAATATTTATAATATATCAATTTATTAATTACATACTAGTAATAACATAATATTAACATTATTAATAATATAATATTATATGAATAATACTATAATATAATATTATATTAATAATAAAATAAAATTATTATAAGAATATTAATATAATATACAACAATAACAAATTGATATACCAAAATAATTAAATATATGATTATTTCAAAGTAATATGTAATAATTATAATATAATAATAATTATAACATAATATAACTCATTAAGTACAATATAATATTATAATATATTATACAACATTATATTGTATTACATTTAATACTTATAATACTATAATAATGTAAACTAAATATTATAATATTTTATTTATAATATATTTTATTATAATTAATTTGTAATATGTTTAATAGTAATTTTATAATGACTCAAATTAGTGTTAACAAAAAATACTTAACATAGTGTTTTGAAAATATTTTAAGGGGAAAACACAACATCATGGTGTCGTTTTACAAAAACACAACAAAGAAAACACCATGGTATCCAAACGAAGCCTAAGAACTTTACATACAAAGTGTTGCACTATTTTCCTAAGTGAAGATATTTTAATTGAACTGACTATTCTCTCAATTCTCTAAAAATCCTTTTTTTTTCCATTTCTTCTATCAGCACACAAATTTTTTTTCTTCTCTATTTTCCTTATTCTTTAATATTCTCGCTCATTTGCATCTTTTTGTTTATTAGTCAATTCTTGTTAGTTTGATTAGGCACGATTCGGTTTGCAAAAAGGTCCAAAGCAGCCCCCCTGCATATAAAAAGCAAAGACTATTTCGACATCTTAGCGGGTCCAAACCCGAACCCAGAAGATCTCATGCCTCACCGTGCGGTCACCGCACCATATTCCACCGCCGCCAGCTGTACCACTTTTACCGCGAAATGTCATTCCCGTAATAAACCTGCAAAACCATGCCTAGTTTCCAACAGCAGTTACTAAAAAGAGGAGCCTCAGTGGAAATTGAACGGGATGGGCACTTACAAGAGAGATCCCAGCATCAACAGATCGAAAAAGAAAAAAAAGAAAAAAAAGAAAAGCAAGAATCAATTAGAAAAAAAAAATCAAACTTTTTTCGATCGCAATAGAAAACTGGGGCGAATTAGGGCTCAAAATGCCGCTATTGGGAATCCCACTAAGCCCTTTCTAGGGGTTCATCTTCCGAGGTTTTATGCGTTTAGCGGTTTTGATCCTGGTCCAGTTTCAGTTTCAGTTTAAAAAGCGGAAAATTTCTTCGAAATTTGATTTCGATATGGGCTTTGACCAAGGGATCATGCCTTCAACGCTGCAGAATCGAAACATGCTCTCTTTTCAATCAGGGAGTGGGTATAGCAATCCACAGGGGATGGCAGGTCCTGTAAATTTGGGGAATTCTGGTTTATTCTTCACTGGAAACCCTAGCTTGGTGAATAATAGCATAGCTGCTGTTGGGGGTCAAGCTGGGGCTTCGTCGAGCAATACGCAGCTCGAACCAGTTCCCGGGATCAGGCAGGATTCTGGGTTGTCGCCGGAGTGGACTTTTGAGGAGCAGAATATGCTGAAACAAGGGCTTATTAAGTATGTCCTTGATTGCAATTTTGAGTGGACTTTTGAGGAGCAGAATATGCTGAAACAAGGGCTTATTAAGTATGTCCTTGATTGCAATTTTAGTTATGTTTATGCACATATAGTTGCATCATACGTTGAATTGTTTATGGTAATTGTGACATAGGTGCAACAATATCAGTATTATTATTTTGATGGATGTCATGGTTGTAGTGAACTAAATAAGTCATATCTAAGACGAATGAGATCAGGCGCAGATCCAAGGGCTGTGTGGAGTGTTCGAGTTAAAAGTTATGGCCCGTGCAAGTTTCACCCTCTGTGCATGTTTCCAACTAGCTACTGATTTGTTTTGATTTTCTCTCACTAAGACGTGTATCTCAAGCTATACATCACCGAATTGAGTTCGGTTTGTTTCTATAGATTTGTGACAAAGAGACGGACACTCCTATATGCTCAAAATTGACAAGGAGACGGACACTCCCATATGCTCAACTGATTTTAGCTTCTGATATTTTCGCAGGATTACTTGTGATTAACTTGTTGTCTTGCTCTTTTCACTTTCGAATTTGATTCTAACTTTTTGTAACTTGTATACAACTTCTCAAACACATATTAAACTAGTATGAAGGTTTGTTATTTATTAAACTAAGTCAATTGTACAGACATGGTCCTAACAAAAATTTGTGTATTTTCATCTGCCGAGACTCCAATCCTGATTCCTAAACTCAAACTCTATGCCCAAACTGTGATTAGCATATCTTGCATTTTGTTAGGTGATTTTTGGTATTATGAGGAGTCATTTTTCCATTCTAAATTGCTCATCCATCCAGATGTTTTTTATTATGAACAACTCAATTGATAAAAGCTCCCTAAAAGAGCAATCACCCAATTTTCGTGACTTTTGTCAAATGAATATTGATGCTTTTTGATTCGTTTCCAAATTCTTAGACAAGATATGTCAATGAAGGGTCTTGCATAAAATGTTGTAAGGCCAATTATTAGGGAGTAAAGCATACTTTTCTGGTCATGTAGTGTAAAACTGATGCAGTTGAGGAGGCAGCAGTCGTGAAATTGTTCCATTGGTCTAAATAATAAACTGGAAATCTGTAATTCAATGAGCAGCAGTTGTGATATAGTTCCATTGCTCAAGATGATGGATTAAGTCTGAGGTTCTCAATTTCCCATACACGAGATCGTAATAAATTTTTTTCTCACTTTCTACTCCTTGCTTACAGGTCATTGAACTGGCTTTTAAAATTCAACTAATTGACACTGATGCTGTTCTCATAGGGCATTCTTCCTGTTTCTCCTCTTTAATCACGTCATATGACATGCAATGCAAAACTGTTAATACAATTATTTCTTTTGTCCTTGGCTCACACATTGTTTACTTCATGTTTCCAGATATGCTGGTGAACATGGTATGATGAAGTATATCAAGATCGCTGCAATGATGCGTCGGAAGACTGTAAGGGATGTTGCTTTGAGGTGCCGGTGGCTAGCTGTGAGTTATTATATATAACTTATTTGATGGCATGCAGTTTGATTTCGTCCTTCTTTTTATTATCTGAAATTATTCATTTGGTTCCAGAGAATATTAAACGTAGTCAACTGCTATCATGCTATGACATCATCTGTTGCATTTATGAATAACATCATTGATGGCAATCATGGCATGCAGAACCATTTATCTTGATCCATCCTTGCATATTTCAATATGCATTGCAAATGTTTCCTATAAAGTGCTAAATGGAAGTATTAAATGACATAGTAATTTTCAATATGGCGGTAACTAGAAGCATTTGATGCTTCCTGTTCACTGAATTCAATAATATGATTGTGAAAAACTTATGCCCCACAGATTCAACACTATGATGATTCAACATTCTTGTTGTGAAACCAGAGCAAGTTTACATGTATTCTTGATGATTGCAGTTAATGATTTATACATGCATATGGTGAGGCTCCTCAACAAAGGATATGGAGTTATGGACCCATGATTAGGTGAGGCTCTTCGTATCAGTAGAGGCTCCTCAATGAAGGATATGAGACCATGATTAGGTGAGGCTCTTTGTATCCGTTGTGGCTCCTCAATGAAGGATATGAACCCATGATTAAGAAAAAAAAGGGAAGTTGTAGGCTTCCTAATTCTGTTTGAAAGAAAAATAATAAGTCTGATAAGGCAGAGGGAGTTTCGCTGAAATGTGAATTTTTGGAGACCATGATGTGGAGACCCGAGTTCCATACAGACCAAGGTTTTAAATATCGGATGTCGGGTTCATGTCGGACGGCCGAAATCCATGTCGGATAGCGGAAATCGGGGATATATCGGGGGACATGAACTAAATATCGGATTGCGATATCGGGTAGTGCATATATGTATAATATCACGTCCTAAATGTAATCTAAGCATTTCTAAATTCAATATAAGCATACTTTGATTCTCGATTGCATCCTAAAACAATTTTGGTCTTTGATATGCTAAACGGTCTTCGATATGAAACTAATCATCCGATTTAACAAAGAGAAGTGCCCAAGTCTTGAAACTTCAACCACCAAGCCAACCTGGGACAGTTTTGTAATTTGACTGTTAAGAAAAAATAGCTTTAAACCGATATAATAGCATATCGGCCGATTTTTCAAACCTGAAAAATCGGCCGATATGGCCGATATTGCCCCGATTTATCCGATATTCTCCCCAAAAACGACATCCGACTTAAGAAAGCCCGACTTGTGTCGCTGGCACCTTCAACCCGACATGTCGGCCGACATGTCCGACATGTCGGCCGACATTTAAAACACTGATACAGACTCTTTTCATCACTAAGCATGCGGATCAATAAGCCAGGAACAAACTATGCGTGATATTCAGTTAGCCTAAGAGATCATTAGATTTCCTTAGCCTTAGTAGTTGGCGGCTTGGCGCACTATACCTAATTTTAGTAACACCAAAAATCTAAAGCATATAAGTTTTAAGATTCTTTCAGAAGATGTGTCTAAAGATGCCTCTGCATACTTTCAATGACCAAAACGGAATGAGGCTGATGGGAAGAGTAACTGCCTTCTGGGAGAGTGAAAAGCATGAGAAATGTTTTTGCTACAATCTGTTGGTAGACCCTTCATGTAAGAATACAGAGAGAGATTTGTGAATTAGCTGCCTGAATTTGATTTTTTTGACTTCTCAATCTTTCTGCCAAGTATCAGAATGATAAATTGAGAACTCAGGTGACAATCAGGCTTAACCTTTGGCCTGCAATGATACAAACTTAATGCCTCGTGGTCAGTGAGAATCAGAAGTACCGGGTGGCTCTCTTTGGGCCCATTCACAAAGTGCTATTCTCAAGCCCATGCATGAAGTTCATGTGTATCACCTGCAGAAGAAATGAAGGAAAAACATATAAGATGGAAGATCACCTGTTTGTCATCTAGTGAGATTCATGGCTAGTGCATTGCATACTCTGAGGAAGACCCTCAGAGTCTTTCCAAATGAGCATGATGATGTCTGTCTTCTAACCAAGATAAAGTACTCAGTATATTAGCTTCGTGCAATAATTTATACTTTCTGGATACTAAAGGTTGTACTTATCATCCGTGAGATATTGGGTAGTATAGTGTCCTTGACCGATTGACTCATTGTAATTTTGCCAATTTAATTTTCGTGGCAGTCCTCATCCAGAGTTGGTCCTTTTTTTTATTATCATACTTATTATTTGTTTATGAAAATATGTCTCTTATGAGTTGTGACTGTTTGTATTTTTTATTGTGGCATCAAGTAACACAAAAATGGCAAAATTTCCCTTTTGTATGAACATGCTTACTGATGATGACACCACTAGAATATTGCAGTGGCATTTGAGCTCTTGCTTCAATGTCTGGCTGTCAACAGGGTTATGCTACTTTTTATATGCTAATAATGCTACACAATTCTCTCATGTTTCGGGCGAACTCGATGTTGAACACTGCATGATTTCCCCCCTTCCAAATGCTGTTTACAGACGATATTTGTAACTATATTGGATTTGATTATTTACTTAAGTTTCTTTCTTTCTTTCTTTTTCCCCCCTCTTTTTTTTTTTTTTTTTTTTGGGGGGGGGG